GAGTAGTTGAGGAGGAAAGAGAGCAAGCAATTACCATGTCTTCACCTGTCCTGATGTATGACAGGTCAGGGATGTCATATGGGGATTTTCTCTGTCATCTCTTTTTACCGTCTATCTTGTAAAAGAGGAAGGAGTGACCTGTCCTGCGGAAGGGAGAGGAGGTTATGAAATGTGGAGGCCTTGGATTGAGGGAAGAAGTGCGGACGAGAGAGATGCTAGGAAGGAAGTTGGGGAGGTTGGTGGTGATGAAGCAAATGTTGTGTGCGATGTCAGGCCTTTTTTCATGTGTGTCGGTTGCCAGATGTGCAAGGATGATGTTTGATCGTTGAGCTCACATTTTTGCCTTCTTATTGGAAAAGGAAATGAATTTATTGTTCTTTCATGAGTTCTGGGTTAGTCCAATTTTAGTCTTGAACAGCAAAGGGACATGGGTGAGGAACTAGACCTCATATGGTGACGTGATTCTGAGCAACCAGGGCAAGCAACCCAAGAAAATCATTTAGGTGGGTGTGTAGCTGCCCTCCATCGGCCTGGTTGACAGTAAGACATATTGGACCAGCCTTCTCCCATCTTGTGGTGGACTGCATCTTCTACTTGGGACATTGAAAGTGAAAGTTTTCATGGGAGTTGCCAACTGAGAACTTTCTGAGGTCTTCCTGTAATCATCCAGACACTCGACAACTACACAAGTCTTCCATCTTCATTCATGCATCTTGTTTTCTGGGCTGCTTATGAAACTCACATTCAAGAAGAGCATGTCCACGGCCAAGCGCCTACTAACTAAAGTTGTGCCAGGCTGTTACGCCAAACCCTTGGCCCAGTCACTTGTTCCATCATATCTCCGATTGGCCAAGGCCTTGTGTTCTTTTGTTGGTTATTATTATTTATTTATTTATTTATTCATTTTCATTTTCAAATGGAATTGGGGGCTTTGAAGTCTCAAGTTAAATAGATTAGCTGGAAAGCCCCAATTTGGCCTTTTATTTGAGGATCCACCGAGCTATCCTGACCCTAGCACTACATGCGGAAGGAGGAGGGAATGAGGCATCGGATGTGGAAGGTGGCCATGGGGTTCTAAAGAAAACTCTTTTCAACAGTGGCGAACAGATGAGATCTCAGACTGTGCGATTCATACGGAATGTGTACCATTACTTCAAAGTGAAGCAGAAATTGCATTCTTTAGCGAAGACAACAAGTGATGGCACTGGAATGTCAGTCAGTACTGTCAGAAGAGCTGTCACTGTAGATGAGATACGTAAAACGTCAAGAAAAAGAGGACAGCTCGCTGGGGGGGGAATAAATTTGAAAATCGACAACTTTATTCTGAATGTGATTTGAATCACGGATAACAGTTTTTATCAAGAGTGGACCGTGCCTGCCATAAGCATTGTTTACGATCGACTGACTTAATGGGATGCGCGGGACAGGGGGTGCCACCCTGTACGAGCGAACATGGCTGTATCAAATCGTGACAAAAATTCTTGTATTCAAGTAAAAGACTATCGATAACATGAAAGTGATCATGGCATCGCCCAGAATCGAAGCCCTTCGGTAAGAATTCTAGCATTGTAATAAAAGACTACGTCTCGCACATTCCAATGCAATGCTACACTCACTCACTATTCATTTCCTTTTCGGTCCGAAAATCTGGGAGAAGTAAAAGATGCCAGAAAACGAGGCCTCTAGCTGGTGTATCTCGATGAGACATATGACGCACGCGTCAATAAGGAGATCTTTCGCTGATGGAACCAAACTGCATTTACAAGGGCTCAACTGGGAGAAGAGATCGCGTGATCATTCTTCATGCTGAATTGTCAGAGGGACTTCGTTGAAGATGCCCTCTTCGTGGGAAAATGCAAACTCTCTGATGCCTCAGCAGACTGGACAATGACAGACAATGACAGGAATGGCGAGATGATTGAAAAACGGATGCGTGAAAAACTCCTTCCCATTCTTGAAGAACCCACTGCCATTATCATGGACAATGCACCTTATCATTCAAGATCAGCCAGGAAACCCCAACTATGAGTAGTAAAAAGGACGAAATCATACGATTCATGCTTCGCAACGATATCGTAGTTCCAAAACCAATTCCTGTCGAGGCTGCCCTTCTGAAACTCATCCATGCGAGAGGCGTGTCTCTGCAGAAGAAGTAGGTCGTGGATGAAATGGCACTGGGGCATGGACACTGCATCGGGCTTCCCCTTATTGCTGATTTAACCCGATCGAGATGGCATGGCACGCAATCAAAAGTCGGGTTACCAGGAGGCCTTGGCAACTCCCATAGTGTACGTGATTTGATCATGTCAGTGCGGGATTAAATCACTCCCGATGACAGAGCGTCTTAAATGAATCAAGAAGGAGAGTGGAGCTATCGTGCTACAGATGAATGTATTGATCGGGAAATTGATTTCATCATCATACATGTGAATGGTGAAGACTCAAGTGATTCCAGTTACAACTTCGACCAGTGGCGTGCTCAAGGGGAGGGGGGGGGGGGGGGGTTGGGGGTCATAACCCCCCCCTTGGGGTCAATTTTACAGGTTTGATTCTCACGAATTTTTTAATTTGGCCACAAATACAGGGTGGGTTATCAGTTTCTTTCATATGTCCCCCCCCATTCGGATTCCTAGGAACGCTATTGACTTCAACATCATGGATCACGTGAACTCCACACACATTGAAAGTCAATAAAGCACAGGGATCCATCCTTCTATCTTTTTTTTCTGCACTTTCATATTTTTCTCTTTTGCATAGTTCGAGAAGATAGGTCTAACATGCAGTGAATTTGCCTGCATAAAGCATTCTCCTTCCATTTCTGACAACTCTGCTTATTATTCCAAGGTTCTCTGTCAGTGATTTATGACCCTCACTCCGATATGAAAAGAAAAGCTGTCATAAATAATCCCAATGATTCTAACGGACTGTAAGACCGCGAGATTGAAGATGTCAAACTATTTTTCAGACTCGTTCTTTTCCTAGTGAATCGACTATACATTAGTTGTCACTTCCTGCATGAACGCATCCATGTTGTGCCTGTAGTTGAAGCTATATTTTGCTGCTACAGCTAAGATCTTCACTAGGATCCTGTTTCTCGGAATCTCCTGGCTTCTAGTTATGACATGATGGAAACATAAAATTTGTCTGAGATGCATCGGAAACATCCTATGGATTTTACGGATTCAATTTGTGTTCAACAGTTGTTTGGAGTCGGAGATGCTCTTCGTACTTTTTCCCAGCAAGCAAATAAGGAATCGACTAATCTGGTCTGAGAATCTGAAAGGTTTACCTTCTTTCTTACTCTCGTATATTTGTCATCTTTCTAATTGATGTCAAATTGTCGTATTTTTTATATTTTCTTTTTACCCAAGAGCACTGTGAAGTTGCGAACAATCCGAAGCTAGCCCACGCAGTTAATTTTTTCCCTGATTGATATTTGGCTTTTTTATTTGCTGCATACCAGCGAAAAAGCCCTTAGTACCAGTATTTATATGTGTATTCATGATTAAAAACCACAGCTCTAGAGTACTGTTTCGCAACCCAGTTTAAGTCGGGAATTTTGCCTCTACAATCACTTCTGCCAGTCTAGGGCTCAACTCGGCGAATTCAGCTATAAAATTGATAAGTTTGATTTTTCTTTAAATACTCGGGAGATTCGAGTCGCAAAGGATAGGGACGATGCATGCACTCACGTGATTGACCATCGCGGAAAAAGGGAAGCCTACGAAGAAGGGTGACCCGGCGTACAGCAGGGGGATCCAGGCCAAATTGCTCCACTCATCTACCTGCTACCTACTGCATAGTGACCTCCTTTAGTCGTCCTGATCCTCCCTAGATCCCAGGAGGGAGAGAGTTCGTCGGCGCAGGCTCCACTCCGCTCATTTCCGGCCTTCCCTCTTTTCTTCCATCCTCCCTCTGGGTCCTGGGTCCAGGGCAAACAATGGCATATACACACACACACATTCAACGAGGATATGATGAATTATTCTTTCTTTCCTGCTGAGTAATCGGGTCGGGGATCAGCGGGACGTGAAAGGATTTTCTCGTCTCTCAACACCTTCACCTTTTTCCTTACCCTCCCTCCCTCGTAGTCACTCCCTTCCCCATCCTACTCTATAGTAAAGCTTCTGCTCTCAACAAATCATCAGCGGAGAAAATGAATCAAAACAGTGGTGGATGGAGATCCCATCAGGTGGGTACCCTGGAGTGTCAGTGGGAAGATGAAATGAAATATTATGCCTTCAGGGCCAGATTTTCCTCTTCTGTCTCTGGGGCTCTGAGCAGGGGCGGATTTAACACAAGTTAACGTGTTCATTGAACCGGAGGGCCCCCACCCCGCCGACGAGCCCCCCATAGGCCCTTCTATCAATATGGCATCACGTGTGGAAAAAGAAAGTGCCCGAAAACTCTGAGGACATCTCAGGGTCATTGCTTCTTATTAGGGTGACTACCTTTTCTTCCGGATTCGTCTCGTTTTTGCATCCTCGTTTCGGAAAATCCATGGGAAAACTCTAATCGAAACAGAATAATAATAAAAAAGACATCAATCTTCCACGAATTCAGAAATGAGTGATGCACATCGATACAAGGACTTATACAGGCGCAAGGAGTCAGTACAGGCCAGTGGCGTAGGCAGGAAATCGGCAAGGGGGGGTTGAGGCCAGGTAGACACCCAACCCTACGCCTAGCTCCACTACCCGGAATTTACCGTTTCAAAGAAATCATGGTCTTGCATCTTGGGTCTGTGGACTGACATTAGACTTTCCTCGAAGGGGTATATTTAAAATTGGAAATCCCAAGGAAAGTTGAAATATGCCTGTCAGTGTCACTGACCGGGAAGCCCAGGGGGGGGGGGGGGGTTTAACCCCCTAAACCCCCCACTTCCCTACGCCACTGGTACAGGCAAACCCCGCCTAAGACCAGAATTTTCCATTTCCATTCCCCAAATTGTCATCTCTCGAGTTTTCTCTTTTACAAGATTATGTGCCCCACGCACAAGGTCAAGAGGCGTTATGGGGTTTCTGGAGGTCATTGTCAAAGCCCAGCAGGATGCAGTTCAACAGGACAATGAAAATCTTGTGTCGCATTTTCTTCACGTTGCCAGGCGGCATTGTCAGTCCTAAGCAGTACATTAACGCTCTTCAGAGGACAAAATCTTATCAGCAGTAAATCATTGGACAGCAACAGCGTAATGATGTTGTTCCCTTGAGCATGGAGAGGGACAGTGCCAAAGTAATCAACTTCTCATCTCGGATAACGAAACCTGCCAGCTTAGAAGTACATAGAGGGGTTGTTTTGGTGGGACAGTATTGTATCTGTTTAGTTGTCAGAAATGAAACGAAGAGCGTACTTCCTTTGCAAAAATCGAGTACTTCCTTTTTACCCTGGTAGAAAGGTGAGTCTCGATAATCCTCACCTGGCTATGGAGATACTCAACTCACCACTGATTAAGGGTAGAAAGTCTTTTTATTACACAACCATGGAGGAAACATGGCAAGCACCTGTATTTACACTTTCACACTAAAACGTTACATACATCTTTGAAACACTGATGGATGAGAGACCCTTGTTCCAACCAGTGAATTCTCTATACACTGAAAAATAAGAGCAAATGTCTTTTCTGCACACAGAAAACTTCATTTCAAGGAATGAGTTCTAATTCAATGACTAAATAGTCCATGGTGGCTAGTCTTTGGGAGAGAAAGAACATCACAATGATAAGGTATACATGATATAGTGAGGGAACTAAGATGGACTATGAACTATAGAATACTACCCTCAAAGTAAAAAATAAGATCTAACAATAAATGCATTGTAATTTCCATTCATAGCTTGAGAACTTCCAAGTGCTATGTAAAATAGGAGTGAGATTTGTTCTTTCTTTGTTGTTTCTTCCTCTAATATAAAAAAAGCAAGAACGGAGTAATTGCACTCAAAACCTCAAGGAGACTACATTCACACAGCTCCAAGAGAATGAATGCACACTGAAGCAGTGGAATAACCCTATTCATAATAAAGTTTGCACTGTTTCACATCTACATTCTCCCTAACCTTCATATTGCTGAATCAGGAGAATAGGTGGAGTGGTATACCAAACTGACACTTCCAAGGAAAATAAATAAATGAATGCCTCAGCATACTGTCACCAACCATCACATTAAATGTCCACATGGATAACTGATGAAGCAACTAATGCTGGTCAAATAATAAAACAAATATTGAATTATGCTAATAAAAGTGATTCATGAAACTTCATGAAAATACTTGTACTTTACAGCCTGAGTTTTCCATAAAAACATGGAAGAGGTTGATGGAGAATAGATATGTAAAAAATAATCCTCCTTACATCTGTTTCATAAAGAAATACAAATCAGCACAACTCCAGGATCAGGATACAGCCAAGGCTATAATATTAAAAAGCGAAATTAAGCTAAGAACAAAGGTTAACCCATTCATGTACCTAACCATCTGCCAGATGGGTTCATGCAGAGGTCTGTTATTATCCATAGAGTGGCTTGTAAGTCAATGGTATGGTCATTAGGTGGCAGGATATGCCACCTTTAAGGTTTTAGTAATCTAGTTTTCACAAATTAAATGGTATTTCACAGCAACTCTTAGTAAAAAAAAAAAAAAAAGGTATGCGAATGGGTCAATAGGAAAGGGTAGGTTGGGAACCAAAAATACTTCATTACACTCACAATTTGAATGGAGTGATCTATTGCTTAAAATTCTTCTTGGCTTAACATACCTTTAATAACAGCTTTAGTTCTTTTGAGCAGGAAGGATTTCTGACATTTCTCAAGCCCAGAGGCAATATGATCACAATTCATCACAGGGTAAAGACTGCAAATGCTGCATGAAATCACATACCCAAACATACCAGTAAAACTGGGAATTTGAGTGCCTTACAATCTTCCTCAGAGTATGATATGACATGTCAACAATTAATCCATCAACACGGGCCAACAATGAACACTAAACCTCACAAGAGAAATGATAGTGAAGATGAAATACTTTCCATAACAATCTTGAGAGCATAAGCAGGTTATAGAGAAAGCAGATGGAATAAAACATCCCGGTCAGGCATCAAGGGACTTGCTTTGTCTTGCTGAAGATGGCTGTAATGACTCACATCTCCTTGAATCACACCTTCAAGCCCGAGTACCTAGAAGGTAATGAATATTTACATGATCGTGGTCTACGTCTGATGTCTATGAATAGATACAATTGGTACCATATATCACTGCTTATTATGAATGAGGAATACTGATCAATCCCTTTCTGTTATCAATTACTGCTGGCCCAATTCATTTAGGACTTATGCTAAGTAATTTTTGTTAGTTATTGGGACCCATCTAGAGGATTCAGTGACCAAATTATTAACTAAAAAAGGGGGATTAGTGCCCCTTCCCCTAAAACCCCTATATATCATTATACCATTATATTCTTAACATCTATGCTCTATTATGGCAAAAAATCATCAACATTCTCCTTTGATTAAAAATCTTATAAGATAAAAAAGGTAATTCAGACAAAAAGTCATAAGGAGACACTTGAGTGTTATGATAAACTGTTGAAAATTGGGCCAAGAGAAGAAGCCAAAAAGCTTGGAATTCTCAATCATGACTTTACAAAGTTGTTGTCTGATCTAGCCATCACCCACTCCTAATAATTATTGTGGACCCGACCCGATAGGATTGAATGGCAGTGACAGAACAAATTCTCAGGCAACCAACATCAAAACGAATTAACCCATTTGTGGAGCTTTGCTCCACATATCCATATAATTAACCTCTAGTCTCTGTTGTACAACAGACTTGTACAACAGAGAGCAAATCTGGATTTTTCAGAGATCCATTGAAGTTGATACTCACCTGAAGGAATAGCCAGAGGAATCCAAAGGAACTGAGGGAGAGAGAGAGCTTATGGAAGAAGACAGAAGGGGGATAAATGGTTGCCTCTTCCACTGTCTCAGATACACCACCACTAGGTAGGTGAGTGACGGGACAACTATAATCCCAGCCATGATCCCAAGTACCAATGCCACTGAACCAGATTGAAAATGAGTTGACCCCGACTGCAAATCACTTGACCCCGTTGATGGCAACCCAGTTAATGACAGAAATTGCATTGAGTGCTCCAGTGTTCCGTTATTTGGTTGAGGTTGGATTCCCAAGAGGTGACAGATCAATGCATAGACATCCACATTGTTAAAAATGGCATCCTTGGAGGACTCATAGCCCTTCTTGAATGCTGGGCCATGGGCAATGAAATATGGCTGCATCTCAGGAAAAGAATTGTTGTATCCATGGACTCCATATTCCTCAACCCCCTCATCTGTTCACAGATAACATTCATTAAATATATTTTTAAAATGAAACAAGTCATCTGAACCACCAGAGGAAAATAGGAGACCTTCAGTATCTTCTGGCTCTGAGATATCACTGAAGGCATATCCAAGATCTGCAACAATGTAGAATGGTGGCATATAGGGTGTGGGTCCATAATGCCAGTCCGGAGGACTGTTTGCCGTCTCATATACTGAGAATGGCTGTGTCTTGGATGCATTGAGGAATCCTTGGTACACTTCCTCCTCTTTCCCTGTGATGTGGGTGCAACTTTTTTTTTTTTTCTGAGAGAGTGAGAGAGAGAGAAAGGGTGGAAGCTGACATACCTGGCAGTGGATAGATGAGGAGTGTGGGTGAGCTACTGGTATAATTGTATGTGTTGGGAGAGGGAGGGATGGAATCTAATTTAACAATGGCATTATTTTTCACTCCCATCATACCATGATCAGAAAGGAGGATGAGATTAGTTCTCTTCCAAAGGTCTAGGAACTTGAGTTGAGATATAAGATATCCCACTAATTTGTCCACCTCCTCCACCTTTGCTTTCACCTGTGGAGAATCAGGACCATAGCCATGTCCTGCTGAATCAGGTTCTTCAATATAAAACATGATGAGATTGGCTGGCTTCTTCGGGTGCGAAAACCATGATAGGGCCAAGTCCACTCGCTCCTCCCATGGCATACTTTTATTGTACGACTTGAAATGAGTTGGCCTACTTCCATTAGGACCCCAGTGGAAATCCACTCCAGCCCACATGCTCACTCCTGAATATCTTCCTTCCCCTGCTTCTTCATTTGTCACCTGTTTCATTAAGTGAAAGAATACCTTGTATCAAGATGATATTATCATCTAAAGAAATTATCAAGTGTAAATTCTTGAAATCTGTCATTACCATTAATAAAAATTATTCTTTACATAAAATGCACGAGAATAAAATTGCCCTCAAACAAAATCGGGCAAGCACATATGTTTGTTTGGTAGTGGGCTTTCTTTTAAAAGAGGAAACAGGAAAAATGGAGCATTCTAGCTTCAAGAGACTAGGCAGTAGGTGGCTATGTTCCCCCTCCCCCCAAATATCTATCTCAAAGATGGTTAGGCCTATCTTATGATTATCAGAATGATTGACTTCAAGATGGGACATCATAACAAGCAGATATGCCTCCTGATGTCCTAATGAAACCTTGAACCTTGATACAGGCAGTAAGTTTTTGGTATACTTCTTGGAAAAAACAGATTTCTCACGAAATAAATTTGAATGTTAAATATTCTAACAGGAAAAGGAATGGCAACATCCAGTATTCAAATAGCATAAGGATGCATGACACTCAGCTGCAATACTGCAGTCCAGGTGCCACCCACCAAATTCACTACCAGTTTTTATTGCTGATGAATTCTATTTTGAGAGATGGATTCTATTTTGAGAGATGGATTCTATTTTGAGAGATGGATTCTATTTTGAGAGATGGAGAATTAGATTGCATTCATATCATCCTCTCTATAAATGTACTGGCTGCAATATACTTTTATTATGTCATCCATCATCTTCCAGACTCAAACATTCTTTGAAAGGAGGTCTAATATTGGACTAGGCAAGTGTATAAGGTTATGTTCATGTATTTTGGTGATGTTCAAGTGCTATGCAGTGAAGCATACCTGGTTATCCCTTGTTATCTTATGCAGAATTTTTACTGAGGAAATATAATTGATCGGGTAAAATAGGCAAATTTTAAAACTATTAGGAAGAAATCACCTACACAATGAAAACCGCAGAATGATTCCCAACAGAGACCTCGTTTACTGTAACATGACAAGTTCTCCCTATGGTATTAGAGGTGTCACAGAGTTGAAAATTATATTAATTCTTTATAGGGTATTGGTACAATAGTGTACCATCTCCCTCTCTTTCTGCAAAGTTTTGCCCTATAAAGGGTTAACTGGAAACCTGTACATTTCATAGAGGTACTGGCATTAACATGAATGGAAAATAGGGGCATTTGCCAGAAATCTAGCTTCTGTTAAGGTGAGAGAACAAATGGAGATCCAAAAGCACAGGAATGCCATTATCTCCAAAACAAACTAAATAAACTTAAATTTAATTTTTTTTTTAATATTGCAAAACCACAACCACATTCAAACTACTTTACAATGTAAACATTTCCCCAAGTTGCTAAGAAGTAAGGTCAACTGTGCCACCTGGGTGCATTAATATGCAAAGATCCAACTGCAGTGCTTAAATGCTGATACCAGCAAAAGACTCATTCCTGTTTCAAAAGACAACAAAACATAGCTATAGCAGGGAAAAAATAAACTGAAGCAAATTTTGGAAGCCTATACCTAGTCCACAAGGAGGGAGGATCAGGTATCTTACAACACATTCAATATGCACCAAGGTTAAGGAGGTAGAAAATGTGTAGAGAGGTTGCTTGTATTGCCTATGATATTATGGCTATGGCAGCTCATTCACATTTCAGGAGGTTGCATTTAGCATGCAATTAGATACATTTACCTTAAGTAGATCAAAAGCAATATGCTCCAAACTAGATTGGTTTCACCACATTCTATTTGATCTGCATTGTGGCAAGTGAGAGTTCTTACTAGGTTTTCATAAACTGTGAAAGTGAAGATAATTGTAGCCCCAGGTACAGAAACCAAACAGCTGGGATAGTCATAGTCCTCATTTGGCAGAAATTTTATTCCAAAAGAGATTAACTCCTTAGATGAATCACCCTAGTAAGCAGACACAACTGAGAAGAGGGCCTTTTAGAGCGAGACTTTTATTGCCATAAAAGGACTGAAAAGACTTTGATTTGACAATTCTGAATAATTTTTTATTTAAACTAGCTAAACTCTTGAGACCTTGCATCCAATATATTTAACAATTTCCATGAGTTTTCTGGTCCCTCTGGTCTAAAGCATTCCCAGGAGAGCTATATCTCATGTTAAAACATCTTGTCCCAGGTTTAGAAATAAAAATTTTCATTGAATCTGAGCAAACTTCTGGTGCTACATAGTAATACTGTAGGGATTCATGGCAGTCACCAAAAAATAGAACCAGTCTGAGGCCAAAGCTCTGACATAGATAGGCTAAGGTGAAGCAACCAAGGCCTACACAAGCCTGTACCCATATGGGGGCGATGCGATGGTCTGCAGTTGCGATATCTTCACCATCTGTGAACATATACACTTCTTCCCTTGTCTTGGGATCCAAGATGCTGTTAGCTATGATACCATGAGTTTCGGCAAAGAGACCCGTAGAGATGGCGTGATGATTGGGGAAAGTCTTTGTTGGGAAGATCGGTTTCATCCTGGGCACGTACACTCCATCCTTTCTCAATGCGTCGAAGTTTGGAGTTTTTGCAAGGGAGAAATAATCATTTCGGAACCCATCAAACGATATCATCATGACGAGGTCTTTTTCAGCTCCGGCTCCCGGCCAAAGGAGTAAGAGGGAGAGAGAGAGAAAGAGAGGCTTAGACATACTTAAGTTTGGGCCTTCCTCCGATCCCATTGAGAATGAACAATGATAAATAAATAAAAACTCCCTCTCAGCATGGGTTGGTCAAGGGGTACCTCATCTCACTCTACCAAGCCACGTGGCAATGACGCGACGCCATGCCATAGTTTTCACGCTATGCCCCTGTTTTGGATTGAATTCGAACCCCCTTCGCCCAGAGGTGGGCTTCCATCAATTGCAGGTGATTCCACCTTCCAAAGGGGTGACTTTTTTGCATCATCTGATGAAGCGAATCCTCTGGAAGTACTGCTTTCTCACAGCTTCAATTTTCATTTCCTTCCTTCTGCGGATTTCCACAACAAATTACTAGAATGCATGGAGTGTCTACAGGAATCATCATACTGAAATCAATCATTACGTTACAGGTTTGGTGTTAACTCTTAAAGTTACTCTTTAAGGAGGCTTTTTAAAATTAAAAGAAAGAACAGATCCCAGTTGCAATAATATTCTTGAGACTGGTTGGTGTAGCGGGAAACCCGGAGTCAGGCGACTCATATTTTTTTAGCTTTCCTACACTGGATTTCGCTGCCAGCATAGGCGGCGACCTGTTGAGAAATTTGGGGGGGCTCAGAGACTACGTACTCCTTCGCAACTACTTATTGTTCTCTTGTCCTTGCTGTCCCTAACCCAAGCTCCCCCCCCCTCTCAGAGGGATTATGGCTTCATCTGAATCAGTGATTTTCAGTGAAACCTCAGCAACGCATCCTTCACTATAGAGTAGAGAGTTTCAGAGTTTGTTTCATAAAATCCCATGAAAGACTCGCTCACATTCAGGTCGCCCTGCGTCACGTAGCGCAAGCAAATACTGACTTGCTCGGAATGAGAGCAATCTTTGGCTTCATCAGTCATTGTAGCGAAGAATTTGGATGAATGAGCCTCAGATATTACTTTTTGCAGGATCTCATCGCCATTATTTCGAGAATCTCATCCTGTACATCCTTGCTCAACCATTTGTCGCGACGATGTAATCTGTTCAACCACTCCTTCAGTTTTTCACAATCATCGGACCTCACTTTCAGTATCTGAAAAAAGTTTCCTTCATTGTCTTCAGGACCACGGATATCTCGTCCTTGCCGTCCAAGTAACTTCTAAGCAATGAAAATAATCTCTAAAGTTCTTCTGGACGAAGGAGATCAACCCTCACACACTGATTTCACCCATCATGTTCACCCCTGAAAGCAGTGCCTGGAGCTTCGTGCATGCCTCTCGGCATGTGATACTCGGTCTTCTCATGAGCGGAAAACCTTTCCAAAGCTCTTCCAATTATTGAATCCAACACTTATATAAATGCACTATCTTGTTTGAGGACGTTAGGAAGCCTTCCTCGAATGATTGCCCCTTCCCTATGGAACGTTTGAATGATAACCAGGGATAACACTCGCACCACTTCTGTTGGAACTTCCTTCCTCTGTCCCCTTCGACTGACAGTGAGTACGAAACAGAGGGTCGCGTCTCAACTTCCCCAAACTTTTCCCCTCCCACAATAGAGCGATTGCACGAACTGGAAGAATCTTCACATTCAGCATTTCTTGTGAAGTCTACCCGGGGGGTTTTGATGACGAGCTTTTCCATTGTCCTATGGCACCAATGGCATAACTCGTCACTGAGGAATGGCCCGAGAATTGGAGATTCAGCCTAGTCCATGTATCGGGAAAAAGCCCACTTTCGGGAAAGCACTTGAAAGCAAAGGGACGGCTATTCATCTTAATAGCATCATTCATCAACTAGGTTAAGGAAAAGTTCTGAGAAAATGCCGTATGACATGTTTGGAAATATGTCACATTTTCAGGGTTGTTGGATTCCGCTTTCACCTCTCGCGTACCTCTAGCCAACAGTTTTATTGAAGAGAAAGAAGTCATTCATTTTCAATGACGAAATCAACATTCTTTGAGCAAATTGCACTGACGACGAAGAAAGGAAGAAACCAGTAACTGAGCTGTTGGATTTAATCTTCACATCATTGAAATCCCTTCTCTTCCCCGAGAGAGAAGCCACAAATTTCCCTTCAGCCTCCCTGGGTCAAATAGCTTTCCCTTTCACCCCATAGCATTGTCAGTAAGCCAAGTCGAAGGTCTGTTGCAGTGGTCGGCAACTAAATTTCACGGCGGGCCGGATGGCAGAATGCTGAACGTGCGCGAGCCAGCACCTACCAAGTGTCATTAAAATGAAAATTGTATCGAACGTCTCATATCAAACGTGCAATTGGATGTCTATTGTCAGACTTATTGCCAGATACCGCGGGCCAGAGGGAGAGCTTCCGCGGGCCAGATCTGGCCCGCGGACCGCC